TCGTCCCTCAGTTTCTGTTCTGGGTGTTGAACATTGAACTGTCGTCTATCACCAGCTTCTTTGAATTGAAGGCTTCCAACTTTCCTTGCACTGGATAGTGGTGTGAGTGATGCGAAACTACATCTGCACCCCTTCTTGATCTGATCTTGTGTTCAATGGGCTGCATCTCCACCCTCTTCAGATTGAGATGAAGTCGATCTGATTTTAAGTGTGTCTGGTGAAATCCATGTCGCTTTGTGAATATTCATGTGTTTGTACACACTCCCTTCAATCACAAAGTCATTAAACACACAGAAGTCACTTATATTAAGTCTGTAAACAGTTCTCCATTCTTGCTCATTTCGGCGAGTGCTTGTCGACTCGTGATGAGTTCTCTTCCTGTGTCGTCTGTTCCCAGTTTAGCATTCATGACACCCAACCCATTAGAATTTTGATGTCGCCCGCCATCTGTGGTGGGGTCTTGTCCATTACTGATTACAGTTGTCTATAGAATTCCGTCTTCTTCTCTTCATCTGCATTAATTTTGGGTGCAAGGAGTTGCATTGATTGATCGTAACTTTCTTTGCTTTGAATTTGAATCCTTCTGTCACGATTCTGCAGGAGATTGGTTCCCGCTACATGACAGCCTTCGATGCTCATGGGAGAGGGACATCATGATAACCACTCCAAAACTCAGTGTGCTCGGGTTTGACGTCTGGGTGACAATATCGGAGTAGATTATTGACTCTCCAGTTCATAGTTAAAAGAGTCCACTTCCATTGCATCTGCTTTCACCGATTCCCAGCCTAGCACTTCTATGTCATATCTTGTCATCTCTTTCGCAATCTGAGTAGCTTTGCCAGCCAGCTTTAAACATGGTGCGGACATTCCATGTCTCTATTCTTATTTTAGATTTGAGTGACAGAGAGAAGACACATTGACCAACTGGCTTTCTGAAGGGAGGCCTTCACCAACCGGCACCTAACATTCACCTAAAATAAAATTCTTTCGTTGTTTGATGCTACAAGTAAGTCAAACCTGTTTTAAGTGACCATTGAGTCCCTCTAAGACTGGATTGTCGACAAGAATTGGTTGTAGTTTTCAAGTCTAAGGCATTGAGAGATGTAGACAGACGAAGTTTAGTGTGCAGTCATTGAGCTAAGTGAATCCAACACTACGGTGCACTGTCCTTTATTGTTAGATGTCTATCATTATTATTATTATCATTATTATTAGTGCCTTGGGTTCCTAATGGAACATAGGGCTTCAGTAGCACGTCTCCAGTGCTCTCTGTTCTCTAAAATCTTTAAAACCTGGCTCCACGACAGCCTAAAAACTCTCATTTCTTCCTCGCACAATCTTCTCCATGTCACTCTCGTCTTGACGCCCAACTAGTCGTTTCCCACCTGGCTTCCACTCGAGTGCCTCGCCTGGCACGTAACTTCCCCGAATGGCATTCTCAGTGCATGCCCAATCCAACCCATCTCCACTTCCTTCTGCATACTTGTTGAGTGATAGGTTCTTGCTTCGTTGGTTCGTCACCAGCCAGAGTTCCTTGTTGCTTATTCTCATTATTCTCGCCATCTGATCTTCAATAAGGAGCCGGCGTAGGCAGTTGTTGATGAATATCTGTAGTTTGTTGGAAATGCCTTTCGTAACGCATCGAGTCTCTGAAACATCACATAGAAGCACTAAATTGACGTTGGTGTTGAGAATCCGGATCTCGTTCACGCTTTATGCTGAGTGCAGAAGATCTCCACACTGGTTTCAGATTAATGAACGCCTGTCTTGCTGTCTTTCCGATCCTGGCTGGCTTTGACGTCCTCGTCCGTGCCTGTGCCACCTGTAGTTGAAACGGTGCTGCCTAGATAGGTGAAAGAGGCTACTTCCTTTCAGTTTCTCCCGTTGGTGGTGATTGGAGCTTGTTGTTGTTGATGGTGGCGTTGGTTGGGTATCTTCATCACCTCCGTCTTCTCCACGTTCACTTGAACTCCCGTCTTCGCTGCTCTGCCCTATCTCTTCTGTCAACTTGTTAGTTTTCGCCTGTAGATCTGAGTGTTTGTGTGACATTAGAAATAAGTTATCGGCGAAATCCAAATCTTCTAGGATCTTTTCTCCGGTTCAGTGTATCCCCCTCTTCTCGCTCCTCACTGTTTGCTGCATGATCCAGTCGACCACAATCATGAAGATCATGGATGATAGTAGACAGCCTTGTCTTACTCCTGTCCCCTGTCTTCACTTCGAAGGCATCACTGAGCTTCCCACTGTGAATTACTTGGCATGTGTCTATTACAGGTACCTAAACTATTTTCGTTGTTCTCTCCTTTAAATTAGTATATCTCACTTAATTGTTATCAACATTTCATCCATGAAAGGTGTTTTTATTCAAACATGAAGTTATTAACAGAGCGTCACCGACTAGAAAAATATTCAAAAATAAGTTGTATTGGATAGGTGTTTCATCTGAATCATTTCAAACTTTCATTAGCTCTGTAATGAAGTTTGACAGTTGTCCTGAAGCCAGTTACACACTCTTTAACGTTGACGTTCCAACTGCCAAACTTAATTGGTTTTCAAGATGTATATCATTGTTTGCCAATAACGTCTACGTGTATGAGAGGATATGGTTGCCTCAGTCCTATTTGCACTTTTCAGGACCTTTCTTCACACTTTCAAATTGGATACAGGTACCTAAACTTGTTGTTTATTGGTACCTGTAATTTCTTGTTGCTGTACAGGGTCAAACTAGTCGCCCTATGTTGGCAAATGAATGCCTATGGGGAGGCTTCGATACCGCTAGGATATTCATGTTGAGTAGCAGCAGAAGCCAGGACGCATATTTCGTCCTACTTGGAACTCGTCAGTTTGACGTACCTGTACCCCAGTGAGTGGTGTTGGTCCCACTGAGACTCAAACTTAGTACCCATTGCTTCTAACGCCAAAGCGATATTGTTTTTTACATCCTAATATCAACGAAATTTGGTGCCATCATGAATTTTAAATTACGGGAGTCCAACACCTCAGTATCAGGACCTCTTCTCTTTACCTGCGAGAAGTGGTTTACCGATTACTCTGTGTTTGATCACTATGGTTTTTTCAAGGATTATTCACATTTGGTGGGAGTGAGGCGATACAAGTTTGGGCCTAAGGAAGACTTTTATTCATTAGGTGGATGCATCCCGTAATACCAATACCAATGATCCGCACAAATACAACGACTTTCATCCCAGCAACTTCTGTACCTTTCACTGTTTACTAGTTGCAAGAACAAGAGACGTGACCAATGTATCAAGTAATGTCCTATGATGAAAGATATTTGTTCTGGGTTAGCATCTGTTGGTGACTCAAGACTCCCGAGATGAGATCATATGACTCAGATGTCTGCACATATAACTCAGAATCGGGACCAGTTTATCCTCTACTTGTGAGAATTACTACAAAGATGACGAAAGCCTGTTGAACATATCTTATAGGATTTGTTCTCTTTTCATCCCTATAAAATGAAAGGTTTGATACTGTTATATACCCCTAATTTTATCTGATATTTGCCTATAACCTTTAAATTCATTATTGCTTTTTTGGCGACGTTCCTAGCTTTTGTTTTTTTAACTGTTTCTAAAGGCTGAACTCTCATTAATTGTTTGTCAAGGTTGTTTAGAAATTATGTAATCAGCATAGCTCTCAACTGTTTAGACGATTATTAAAACAGTAAAAGCTCACTGTCAACAGTTTGCCTCTCTTCTTGCTTTCGTGTGCCGGTGGTATTGTTTTTGTGATGTTCGAAGTTCTGATTAGCGATCACAGTAAATTCTTTTGTGCGTTAGGCTCGTACCGGTTATAGTCTGCCAGATAGCATTTTTGGTCATAGTAGCTACCAAAACGGTATTAAATGAATAAATAAATAATACAATGATTCACACCAAACTAGAGTTTTTTTATTACCCAGAAAACTTTATATCATATGGAAATTTAGACTTCACTGTGATAGGATGGAAAAAACCTACTTTTGTTTAACAGTAGTCAAGGTAATAATAATAATTTTCCTTATTATTATTATTATCAAACAGTGATTGTATACCGAAAAATTAAAGCTTTTAGAAAAAGACCAAAAACCGGTTTTCTCTTTCACTAAAAGCGTATAAAATAAAACGAAATCGAAAGAAAAGCGAAACAATTGATACAGTGAATGCAAGTGAGAAACTTATCCACACCACAAAGCGATAATCACAACATCTATAAAACCAAAATAATACGATCAAAAATTTTTTTCAACTAAATTGATTAGTTTTGGAATAAGCAAAGTTAATTAACCAGGAATGGTTTACAACAAGGAGGCAAAGTTAAGATTTCCCACCGGAAATTGTGTTGATACGAAAATATCATTTTTAAGCATGTGCGTATATGTGCGACAGACAGGCATTGTCGTCATAATCCTTCATGTATATATATCTGTGTCAAACTTTATTGTCTTTCCAATATGTTCGCCCACATTCAAAACGAATACGTCTGTGAGCTTGAATCCACCCACGTTAGTGTATGTCCCAACCGTGCATGTCTGGAAGTGTACACTACTTATTAAAGGCCATCAATCAAATGTGTGGAATAATCCCAAAGAAAAATCAATAAAAAAACCCTAATATCAGAGGAAGAAGAATATTATATAATACTGTTTATGTTAATATCGAAAGTTTCTATTGTAATTAAATAGGCTAAAGTATATCACAGGTAAATCATCCCATCATTGGGTGAACGATTCAGATACCAATACTTCCTTGATCTAACATACAAAGTCTAGAACTGTTTGGTTAGAAAATGAGTATAGAAGAAAATACCAAATAAGCTCCTCTAAACAGTTGTTTCAGTATGAAATACTACTAACATGAGCAGTGTTAGTAGTAAGAGTAGTGATAATAGCTAGAAATACAATTGAACCATAATAAATATTGACTAAGGAATATGAAATAGAAAAATGGGATTGTTAATATTACCAATAAAAATGATGGTAAATATTTAATTAATTATCAAAATCCATTAAAGTGTGCAGCGTGCTCTTTTAAATTTTTCAAATGTGCATCGATCTGTTGTTCTAATAAAATGGAATGTTTTTGTTCATCGGCGAGAAATTTTGCAGCCAGATTGTAGACAGCTGTATCCTCCTCCTCTTCCTCCTCCACTTCGTCAACTTTTCTTTCATTATGTTGTAAACCATTGTGACCAACTTGAGAATTGTTTAAATTCGACTGAATTAATAACGGCGTCGTTGTTACTGCTGTTGAGGATGATGGTGAATCATACAATAAGTGACTTATCGCCTTGCCATATGATATCTACAGAAGGTAATCAAGAATGATAATAGTGATAAAGAGAAATTTAGAAAGCAGTTTGGGATTTTTGGAGATTTTACTTCGAAGGTTGTATTCATCACGAACTGACATCAGTTAGGGGACCACTGAAACAGTGGGGAGTACACACTCATAACATCGCTGGGGGGATCGAAATCAGGACCTTCAGGTTTCACAGCGGATGCGCGAACCATTGAGCTACTGGGTCGGAGTTCAATGGTCTATAGCTCCTTATTTCTGTCGATTCTCGACACAGTTCGACGATTAACTCACGTTTCCAATGGTTCCCCAAGTGCTTTCAGTCCGTAATAAATACAACCTTAAATATCGATGAAGCAAAGTGATGTCGTTTTATTCTCCAAACCTGGTTACGATGAGGACAATGATAACTGAGTTCTCGTTGAGTTTTGAAAATTTGTTATGTAGGTTTCATTACTAGGCTTGGGGACAACCTCAGCATTAAATGTACAAAGACGTCTTGAAAAAAGTGTACACTTCATACACCTGGGTCTCTTAATAATAGATTTGAATAACAGAATGAGAACCACCAATTACAGAATATGATGACGTAATTCTACTCCACATGCTTTTTGTCAGCTGCGTACAACCTCAATATATAAGTTAATAAACACTGTAAAAATACGAACACATCTTATATGCAGAGTCTTGAGATACCAAAGGTAAGTGTTCCGATGACTAAAAAAGAACAGTACGATTCAGAATATGGAGAAGGTTAAAGCAACAAACCCAATCAAATTAGATGAATGTTATGGAAGGAGTTATAATTTGCAGTATGATCGCCATGACTTCATAAGAAAACACAAAACCCTGAAACCTCTCACAACTAATAATGTTGCTTAGACGTATCGAAACAAAGCAAGTGAAACAACGTGATTGAAAAGATAAAAAACAACAGGATACAGTATACATATATATATATATATATATATATATATATATATATATATATATATATATATATATATATATAACAGGTTATAACCAAGCCTAATTTACTATCCGCTGCCAAACTAGGATAAAGAGAGAACGTAGGGCATATGGCTGGCAACCCCGCCCAGTAAAACCAATACAATCGCTAAACAAACTTCGAAGCACAAGCAAAATATTTAATTAAAAAAATTAACTTATTCCTCGCTGGAATCGGCGAGACGAAATGATGCCAGTTGGTGAAGGCCTCCCTTCAGAAAGCCAGTTGGTCAATGTGTCTTCTCTCTGTCAATCAAATCAAAAGTAAGAATAGAGACATGGAATGTCCGCACCATGTTTAAAGCTGGCTGGCAAAGCTACTCAGATTGCGAAAGAGATGACAAGATGTGGCATAGAAGTGCTAGGCTGGGAATCGGTGAAAGCAGATGGAATGGAAGTGGACTCTTTTAACTATAAACTGGAGAGTCAATAATCTACTCCGATATTGTCACCCAGACGTCAAACCCGAGCACACTGAGTTTTGGAGTGGTTATCATGATGTCCCTCTCCCATGAGCATCGAAGGCTGTCATGTAGCGGGAACCAATCTCCTGCAGAATCGTGACAGAAGGATTCAAATTCAAAGCAAAGAAAGTTACGATCAATCAATGCAACTCCTTGCACCCAAAATTAATGCAGATGAAGAGAAGAAGACGGAATTCTATAGACAACTGTAATCAGTAATGGACAAGACCCCACCACAGATGGCGGGCGACATCAAAATTCTAATGGGTTGGGTGTCATGAATGCTAAACTGGGAACAGACGACACAGGAAGAGAACTCATCACGAGTCGACAAGCACTCGCCGAAATGAGCAAGAATGGAGAACTGTTTACAGACTTAATATAAGTGACTTCTGTGTGTTTAATGACTTTGTGATTGAAGGGAGTGTGTACAAACACATGAATATTCACAAAGCGACATGGATTTCACCAGACACACTTAAAATCAGATCGACTTCATCTCAATCTGAAGAGGGTGGAGATGCAGCCCATTGAACACAAGATCAGATCAAGAAGGGGTGCAGATGTAGTTTCGCATCACTCACACCACTATCCAGTGCAAGGAAAGTTGGAAGCCTTCAATTCAAAGAAGCTGGTGATAGACGACAGTTCAATGTTCAACACCCAGAACAGAAACTGAGGGACGAAACTACAAAAGACATCTTCAGGTCAGTCATCAGGACAAAATGAGAGAGATTCACCAACACCCGTGAAGAAACCTGTGTGGAAGAACACTGTAACTCTGTGAAAGAGATGTGGAAGGAAACCTGAATAACTGTGTTACGAAGGAAGAAGAAAGAAGACAAGGAATGGAATGGATCTGGACGGATACATCGAAGGTGAGGCAGAGGAGGCAGAAGAAGATGGTGAAGGAGAAGATGAACCAGTGCATTTCAGTGCAGTACATTGCAGTGCAGGGATGAACAACGAAAAGAGGAACTGAACACAACCTTTAAAACACTACACTAGACAAAGATGTGAGAAGGAGTACGCGGAAAGACAAAACATACTTCTACAACACACTTGCAGGTGAAACAGAATAGGCTGCTGGTAGGAGAGACCTAACAACATCATATCAAATAAACAGGTTACTTACTATCTGGGAAGAGATCAATGAAGATGAAACTAATGAAAGATAGTGGAGGAAACTCAGTTACCGCCAAAGAGAAAGGAGAAACAAAGGAAACGATGGGCTGACTACTTCGAACAACCCTTGAATCGACCACTAGCATCACCAACAACTGCAACTCTTCCAGAAATACCACCAGCCCCTCAGTCCAGTCACAGAACTATCAGTGAACACAAACCCTCCCACAAAAGCAGAAGTGAAGGCCTCAACGCCATCAAGTTGCTGAAATCCGGGAGAGCATCAGGACCAGATGGAATCCCGCCAGAAGCACTGAAAACAGACCCAGAGACAACAGCGTATATGCTCGCACCACTACTGCTAAAGGTTCCCAAAGAAGGAAAGAAGGAAAGGTAGCATCTACCCACTGGAACAATAGCTACCTTGTCAAACTCCCAAAGAACGCTGACCTAAGTCTTTGCAAGAACTGGCGCAGAATCATGCTCCTGTCCCTGTCCACATCAGTCAAAATATTAAGCCGCATCATCCAGCAGGGACTTGAAGATGCACTGGATTCAAAATTACCACTGGGACAGGTTGATTGGCTTCAGGAAAAACAAACCATGTCCGATCAAATTGCAACGCGACGCTCGCTGTTCATCATCATAGAACATAGTACAGAGTTTGACCGATGAAAAGACCATAGAAGAAGATTTGGATTTCACCGATGATGATAGTGACGATTTATATCCAGTGTCGCACAAACTCGAAGATCTCCAGGCGAAAACCAAGTAGTTGGCAGAAGAGGCGAGGCAGCAAATAATAGAATTCTGGTGAGCATAGAGAAGAGAGAGCTGATGAAGATACCCAACCAACAACAACAACAAGCACCAATCACCATCAACGGGAGAAATCTGAAAGGTGTTTTCCCTTTCACCGACTTGCCAAGGCAGCATCGTTTCAACTACAGGCGGCGGCGGCGGTGGTGGTGGCACAGATGAGGACGTCAAATCCAGAGTCAGAAAGACAGCAAGACAGACGTTCCTTCAATAATCTGAAAGCAGTGTGGAGACATTGTGCACTCAGTTTGAAGTGTGAACGAGATCCGGATTTCGAACACCAACGTCGTCAGGGGTTTAGAAACCTGGTGCGCTACGAAAGGGATTTCCAACAAACTACAGATATTCATCAACATCTGCCGCTTACGCTCACTGCATACGGAAGATCAGATGGCCAGAAAGAATGAGAAACAAGGAACAAGGAACTCTGGCTGGCAACGAAACAATCAAGTACCCATCGACCAACAAATATGCAGAAGGAAGTGGGGATGGATTGGATTGGGTATACAGTGAGAAAACTGATTCGGGACATCACGCGCCAGTCCAGTTCAGTCCAGTCGAGTCCAGTCAGGTGGAGCACGCATGGGAAACGACGAGTTGGGCGTCCGAGACAAGGGTGACATGGAGGAGATGGTGTGAGGAAGGAATGAAAGCTTGTGGGCAGTTGTAGAGTCAGGTTGAAAAAACTGCAGAGAACAGAGTGAAGTGGAGACGTGCTACTGAAGCCCTATGTTCCACTACGAACTCAAGGGACAAATAATAATATAATGAGAGAGCTTCGTGACTAACAAATACTTTATTTCTTTCATTTATGTGAACCAAATTCTTATCTTTCTTATTGATTCTCTGTCTAACTAGTGACAAAATGTGAGCTATGTTTGCGTGTATGCGTGTATCCGTGTATGAAAACATTCTCACACATTTGATTCAAAGTATTAACCTACACCAGATTTTCATTTACCTTAACTGTACTGTTGATGCGGTGTGGTAAAATACGTCTGTGTATATGGATAACCTAGATGTTGGCAGGAAGCTCTGTTCAATTTACTTTTCATGCTTATTTAATACGCATTTGTAAGGTATATCTAGAACTGGAATTCCGTAGGTGATTTAAACTTGGGGCGTAACCACTGAACTGTTTAGGCCGATTCATCGGTAAACTTCCATCAGTGCACTGAAGACTAGAAAGTTACATGGTCACCAACAGTAACTAACTCGTGCACAGGCTTCATTTGCCTCAGAGGAGTTTGCTGCAACTACAAATATCTATGATAGGAATTTTTGAAGTTTTGAATAGGTGTTTCATCCTGGTTTGAGAACCTTCCGATGTACATGTTATCAACTTTTTACCAGAGGATATATTTTTAGATATCCCAGTCTTAAGAATTTCCTAATCAATAAGACAGATAACCGCTATGAATTTGATTTCACTGCTCACGACTGACAGATCACTAATGTTCTCGATCTTCAGTCGATAGAAGTCACTGCCTCGTAGTAGTCACAGCTCACTAATTATTATTATTATTCATAGGGTTTATCACTATCATGCTTGTCAGTTTACATTTATAGGTTATGGAGCATAGTCAGCTAGTTAGCATCGGTAAGAGAATCGGTATTACTGAGTAACGGTCGAAACTGCCAAACTTGAAATCAGTATATCAGGATACAAGCTACAAGAATGAAAAACAATGGTGTGAGAATAGTACAATGAATCACAACAGAAAGCCATAGAATGAAAAGAAGAATGGTAAAGCAAATAACAAAATTTGTTAAACACTTAACATGGTGATAAATCACAAATGTATCTATGTCACTGTTATCGACTGTTAGCCATATGACCTTGAGTCTACAATCACTGATTCCACTTGTTACCTGGATACACTGCTGAGACAAGCAGTCAGAGAGTTTATAAACTTATAGCAATTTTATGTTTGACCACCTTCAACTTTTTTCCAGCCTAAACCTTCTTCAGCTAATATCTCACGCTCGAAAATAGTGTGTCTAGATATGCGTGTGATGTTTAAGCTTTATTTGTAATCAAGCGTCTTAAGTAACTACCAACTACTCTGCTCAGAATGATGTAGTTTATTCTCATTCCATTTAGTCTCACCCTAGTGTGAACATTAATAATGCAGTTTGAGGTTCAGTGGAGACGTGCTACTGAAGCCCTGTGTTCCATTATGAACTCAAGGGACAAATAATAAACATAATAATAACATAGGTTATATTAAGCGACTACAAGGATATAACACAAAGCAAGGTTGGGAATGTTCACAAATGAGTGAAATAAGGCAAACGCAGAAGCGGTTGAACAATTATGGGAACATAATGTCTTAGCAAAACGATAACTGGGTGGGATGAATCATAGAAGTAATTACAAGCGTTGATTCGAATCCAACTAGCGCCCAGATTTTCAGGTTACCTTTAATCGTCACCTAGTATTAACAGAAGTCTGTCAAACTATGGATGGTTATCTCAGATAGTCAAACTGAGAAAATGGAGTCCTAGTGAAACGAAAGTCAATATGAATATGATTGTGAATAAGCAAAAAATTAACGTATTAAAAATATGTTTGGTAAGGGTGAGGATGAAAAGTAACTAACTAGTAACTATCTCCAGTCCACCCAAATGCACATTTTTGCTCCAGGACTGGTCTTCAGCGGTGCCCCACTGCGGCTAACAATAGAGAGTGAAGTGGTTGAGTGTGTTGACCACTTCACTTACCTGGGAAGTAGGATCAACCCCGGTGGGTTAGTTGCCGACAAGATTTCTGCACGGATACAAAAGGCTCGATTGGCTTTTGCCAATTTGCGCCACCTATGGCGCCGCCGTGATATTCGTTTGTCTAATAAGGGTCGCGTGTACTACACAGCAGTCCGCTCTGTTCTACTCTATGGCTGTGAAACATGTTCATCGAAGGTGGGAGACGTGACAAGGTTTCAGGTGTTTGACCACCGTTGCCTTCGTAGTATAGGCCGTATTCCGTGATGTCACCACGTAAGTAATGCAGAAGTCAGGCGTAGAGTTTTAGGGAGTAGAGGTTAGTCAGTTGACGAGGTTATGAACCTTCATCGATTGAGATGGTTGAGACACGTACTACGTATGCCTAGTCACCGAGTGCCTCGTCACACAATGTTGGTTGAAGTAGGTTCAGACTGGCAAAAGGTTGGAGGCGGCCAGACTAAAACATTGCATCAATGTATGAAGTCTCTGACTGTTGGTTTAAGCCAAGTGGGGCTATGCAGACCAGGTGGTTGGGGTTGGCGAGACAAGAGGAACCAGTGGTTGGAGACCCAAGGTGATATGCCTCAGAACCGATGTTATGGGTGCAGATGTATACATACATTATCGTCATCTTAACAACGCTATACCGAATCTCGCCATTTTCTCATTATTCCTTTCTCTGTTTTAGTACTTTATATTTCTTTTGACTGAATTTTCTTATCTTTATCTTGCATCTCACTACCTATCTACTTGATGTGCTGATATGAGGTGTGGCAACTCGGACCGTTACGCAGTAATGCTTAGTCCTATATTGATATTGATTGATTGATCCTTTTGAATAAACATTTTCGACTGAACTCGTCGGATAGCGGCAGCTTCGGTAATCCGTGTTGAAGTGAGTGACGAACTATCGCAGTGCTGAATGACCTTACAGATGTAGATTATTCGGTAGTTTCTCAGCAATGCTAATAGATAGCCACTTCTCTGTTGTTCGTACGTACTTGTCTATACATGCACGTATGAATCGATGATTAGAGTTTAATACAATGAGACAAGTTTCATAGCCAAGTCAGTTTTACACAGTGCACTCCTAATTCGGCTGTTGATCCGTGCCACAACATCTTCATCCTTCAAAACCAAATGAAGAAATCGGATTTCTTTTTAAGTGTTACACTATTCATTTTCCCCCTTGCTTTTGCAGTATCTCTGTATGAACCTGATCGGATATAACCGTTACTGAGTAAACATTGTTCTGTTAGCTGAGGTTTTGTCACAAATTTTCCCTTGGAAGCAAATTCTCTTTGAACTCTGATGTGACGACTGCATTAAACCTCTTTTGTACTTTGACTGGGCAGAAACTGCTACAGTTTAAATACTGATCGCGCTATGTGGTTTTGCACTGTTTCCTACCCTTTACTACATCATCTGCATTATGTTTCAAAAATACGTTGAGAAAGCTCGGTCGTTGTTTTTCTTCATAACCAGTTGTAAGCTTAATATCGTGATGTGTAGTAGTGAAATGTTGCAGTAGTTTCTTTGTTTGTTGAACATTTCCAGAGATAATGGATAGTATGTTAATGTGATTACATAATCACCTCTACGCATGCTTAATCTTATCTTACTAATTCCTGAACAATCCTCATCTTGCCTAACAAAAATGCAGCTGGTTTCATTGAGTTTATTACTTTAACCCCCTTTGTATTCTGAATCGTCAAGACAATAACTAGTATCTCAACAAGCTCCATACAAAGAATATCAATAATTGTCATAGTGTTTATTTAACTCCCTTGTTGAAGTTGTATGTAGGTGTTGAAAAGCCTATCAAATAGGATGAGGACTTCTTATTAAGCAAAAGGGGTTTTTAATTGGGGTATTCGTGAAGCTGTAACTCAGTGGTTTAGAAAGATGACTACCAACCATTGGGTAACGGGTTCGAGCCACACACCACCTACCGAGATTTAAGTAGCTGGGTATTAGCACTAGCCCTCACACACAATAGGTGTGGCTCATCGCCTACTGCAGGGATGCGCACAAGGTGGCTGAGTGGTCATTTATCCTTTCCTCATTGTTCAGCGCATTCATCGAAGTCCATCGATCAGGCTTGCGAATTGGCCAATAAAGTGTGGTCTGACACTGAACTTTGTTGTCAGACGCGACGACTAAGAAACAACATCCATCACTCTCCACCGACTAATTAGTGTATACTGTCCAGGTGTATATGGCAGATTCATCGCCTTAACCACGTAGTGATGTACGTTTGAAACACGGACAGAACACCAGTTTCCTCATGTTCACAGATCCATCTTGCTGGTGAATGTCAGCAGTTAGGAAACCTAGATTCAGGTATTTTAACCAATGAACTTCTTATACTCTACATTAAAGAATCAAGTATAATATGCAATAATAATCATAATAATAAAATAATTATCAGCCAGTGGCACTTACTGAAGTTGGCATACTTGACAAATGATAAAACTGAGAGTTTACATGCGAATCAACCAAAGATGAATTGTGTTTACTAGTAACAGAAAAATGAGGAACACTTGTAGATACTATTCTGACTGGTTCAACACTTGAATTATTGGGATAATGCACACGAAATGTATCATGAAGTGAGCCAATAGCTGATGATTCACTGTTACAATTTAGGTAGTGCTCTGATGTTTCTGGAGATGTTGAAGATAAATCCTGGCAAACAATTTTATATTCACCTTTATATGAACTAGAGATTTTAAAAATGGGAGAAGATAGAGTGTGTTTACATTATATGACTATGAATTAACTACTGAAATCAAAATTCTCTTCCCTATGGAAAAACAGAGAATTGATGTCATACGGTTTGAGGCAATCGATGGGAAGTTTAGTTCAACCTACCTTTTGTAATTCTTGGAACTCAGCAAGGCGCATCTGCAACCTCAAGGGGATTGATGTCTCTAAGGAGATTCGGACCTGAGTCACCTGATGGTGCAGTTAAAGACAATAACACTGAGTTATTCGTGCAGTCAGTGACCTTCTGCACGATAACAAGAAAGATTTAACCGATGGTATTCTGAAAGCGGATAAAAATTATTGACTTAATAAAAGAAGACATTCGTTAAGCAAGAAGCATAGAGATATATGAATAGATCGCCACACAGCATAAGAAGAATGTACTGTCTTGTAACTGATGGTTGTGAGATATGGTTAATGTATGCAAATGGATGACGCAAAAATTTATAAGTAACTGAATGAGGGCTTTTGAGATCGGAACTATAATAGTAAACGTAGTCAAACGATGTAAGTGAAAGCCTGAACCACCTTACCAACTACTCCCCTGATGTATAATGATGACTGGATTACATAAATCTTAGTATGTTTGGGATGTGTTTCGCACCTGTCAAATGTAAGATTTTACTCCTGGACTGGTCTGCTGAATCTCCCAGTTTAATGATAGGAAGTGAAGTGGTGTAATACATCAATCTCTTCAAGTAATTAAAGGTTTGCATCAGCTAGAACGGCGTGGTTGCTGAAGTAGTCTCAGCTCGGAAACAGAAGGCGATTATGACATTTGCAAACTAGCGTCACCTGTGGTGCCAACTAGTGAGATATCTGACCATCTATGAAAGGACGAGTAAACTGTTCTGCAGCTTTTTCTGTCCTGCTGTACGTCTGTGAGACATGGTAGTTGAAGTCAGAAGATATGAAATGGTGAAATGATTTTGATTATAGGTGTTTTCGTAGCATTGCTCACGTTCGGTGGAATCACAGCGTGAATAATGTTGAGGTCGAATGAAGGAGAATAGGTAAGATAGGCAACTCGATTGATGACGTTGTGAACCTCTATATACAAAGGTGACTTCGACATACACTTTGCATGCCGAGCTACCACCTACCTCAATGTGGCATGATGGGGGAGTCTGGATTGGGTTGTGGAGAAGGTTGAGGGTGGCCAGATCAAGACCTGGCACCAGCAGTCGATGAAGTCCGTGATTGTTGGTGTGAGCCATGTGGGGAGGTGTAGACTGCCTCGTTTGGAATCTCGGAGACGTTAGGAATCATTGGTTGATTTTTGTTGATGACATGGCTGAAAATCAGTCAAAGTGACGCAGATGTATTCACTCTTTGACATCTTCTAAAGCTTAAATATTCGAACTAACTTTTATCTTCAAAATGTTTATTCTGTCACATAAATTTATCTACTTTGATATCACTCTTTTTCTTTCCACCTATTCTTTGTATTCTGCTGTAAGGTGTGATAACTTGAACCGATACAAATGTATGTGAGGTTCTATGTTGATATCGTCAGTCAGTCCGACTAGATTACGAACAGGTTAGAAAACAATCCTAAAAGTGGTTAGATCAGAATATCACAGTAATCAGTGAACTTGCTGACTTTATGCTTGATGTATATGTGTGTGTTTGAGAAAGTGTTGTGTTAGTTAGAAATCCCGGGACACTGAATCAAAAACAAACCTAATTCGTATGTGATGAGCAAATATTGAGGCTTGCCCATGAATGAATGACACAAAAAGATAAACTGAAATAAGCAACGGTTGGGGGAAACCGATAATCTACACAACAAAATTTAAAATATGGGTTCGACAATCACTCACAAAATGTATCATTCTTACAGTAGTGACAGATAGTGGCTAGCAGTGGAATCAAGGACGCGCGTTTCGTCCTACTTGGAACTCGTCAGGTGGCTATCACTGCTTCCCAGTGAACGGTGTTGTTCCCACCGGGACTCGAACTCTGGACCGATAACCCAAAGCGTCAGTCTTGTCGACCAGGTCACGATAACCCCTTTAGTTTTATAGGTGGTTGCTTGTATAAATCATTGCAATGTAGCGTAGCCGGTCCGCCATTACAATCTAGTAAGCCCAAGATACATGAAGAAAAAGTTCGTAAACTATTTTGAAATAATTTTCTTCACTAAAAGTGACCACGTCAATGAAGATAAATCAATACATGAGCGCTGCAGACTGCTCGAGTGGGGCCTTCGAAACGACAAGAATCAGTGGTTCGAAACTTTTGAAAATATGGTTGAAAATCGATCAGAATGGTATAGACGTATATATGTTTAATTAACTTGGAATTATTGGTACTCTAATCAAATGGTAATCAATAAGCACGAGGACATTGACCCAATATACCGATTACTAAGAAGCGATCAGCTAGCTGGAAATCAATAATCAGACATTAGGTTAACAGCATAAGTCGAATAATAAAAACAATTATAAAGCCCAAACTCTGATAAAAAGAAAACGACAGGTCATTCCTTACCCACAGGCCAATAAGGCTCAAGGTATTACAATATCATTCGCCTACATTCATACAACTTGAAAATGCTTCACTTTTATATGAAGTAAATGCCGATGAAGTTCAAGTTGCCACACTCCATACCAGCATACAAAGAACATAAGGATATAGGAGTCAGTTCTGGGCACTGTGGGATAAACGAAGACTTATATCAAAGTAGTGAGAGGTGTACGGGAGAATAGATTTGAAGAATTAAGCCTAGTGAAAGTGTTCAAGCTTTCGAAGATACAAAAGAATGGATGCATTTGTGCCATTATGATCGATTTCCAACCAAGACTTTCTAACCAACGATTTCGATTACTTCAAGGGCTCTAACCACAGACAGTTCACAACTTTCTACATGGCTCAGACCAACAGTCACAAACTTTATGGATTAGTATTACTCCTTGGTCTGGTTACCCGAGGGTTTTTCCCAACCTAAAGCAACTTCGGCTAATATTACGCGACGAGGTAACCGATGGCTCGGTATGTGCAACATACATCCAGGCCACATCAGTGGCAGAAGATTTAAAACCTTATCGACCTCATTGCCCACCTTCCCGCAGTATCCTATGCTTAATTTCTCGCAGCAACTATCAACTATTAAAAAGAACACTCGGTAAAAAAGAATAGCGGGTTCGAATCTCACATAGAACATCAAATCTCTCGAAGTTGCAGATACGCGTTGCTAATGAGCGCCAACAAAGACGAAACCTGTCATTCAGAGTTTCCTGTCGATTGCCTTCAACCAACTGATAGTGAAATAATGGAGATATAACTAAATTAATAAACATAATTCACCGTCACTTACGTAATCAAAGCATTTCCATTTGAATTAAGATTACAATCTGAAGGTTTGACTGAAGGTGATGGAGATGATGACGATGACAAGTGTAAAGGTGGGACTAATCTTTGTATTGATTCATTTAACTCATTTGGTTGATTGATTTGTTTCACTTTTTGATTACTGGACAGTTTATTTTCCGTAACTTTTTCAACTTTAGCAGTCTTTAGAAGTTCAGTATCACGACTATAAGGATTATCATTGAAATCAATTTCATTGTGAACAGTATTTAAAGAGGTTGAATGATTTTTAACTGTAACTATTTGAGAATTATTGACATCTTCTTTAGTTAAACTGTTAACTACACGTAAAGATGAGTTGCCTGGTGATACACAATGAACATTATATAACATAGGTGGTGTGGAATTCAAGTCAGTAAAACAATTGATACATTTTCGATTAAACTTTTCTGCATTTGTTAACAAATCAGATAAAGCTACATTATCCTATATAAAAAGATTGATTGACAGGTGAACATAAAATAAAAGTTGAACAGTAGGGGAAAAGAAAATAGAAGACGGTAAACAAATATCAGATAAAGTATCAAGAAACTTAGTGGTAGAAAGCGTAAACAATCATCAGCTCAAAACCGATAAGTGGGTCACGGATTCGAACTTCAATCTGTATCAAATAAAGTTTCCGCAGTTAAGCAGTATTATTAACTCAAATAGAATTGCTCAACCACTCGCCGTTCAACAAATGGGTATTGGATTAAGACTTCATCCCGTTTACCCTGGCTTGAATGATCAATTAGGATGACACATCGTGTAATAAGTGTGGTTCGCATCATGTTGGCTTCCATTAATATTACACTAAACTACGGACATTCTCACTGTACATTATACCACAAAGAATTAACTTCGTACAACTAAGCTACTAATAAACAGTATAAACTTTCCCGATGAAAGTAATTCAGTGAGAGTTCTTAAACTGTTTGGAGGGGTCGATTCTTGAGGTCTCATACATTATAATCTAAGATTGGTAAAAGTGTGTATATACTAGATTATTAACCATACTTGTTGGGTTTGCGGACTATGGTAATAACCCGTTACCCAAGTTGTATTAGGTAGTGCCGAATTTCAGCTTATGACCCACGGCTTAAAATATGAAAGCCTAAGCCAATGAGTCATACTTTCCTTGCATCCTACTATGCCGACGAACTCATTGGATAGTGAGACTGCAGGCAGATACCGCTGTATTATATAAAACTTACGGAATAGCGTGGGTACAAGGATAACGCACTGTGGGATGTATGGAGTGCATGCAGTACGGTGTTTACCGAGGTTAACTTGCGTTTCAAGCTGATAATGAATCCCCCTTATTGGAATGAGGGGTTAGAAAATGTTAACTCTGGACTTCAGGTACACGTCTATAGGGTCTTCCTTCAAGTATGAGTGTAACTCAATCCTCAGAGTGAAAAACTTGCAAAAATGTTGCGGATGACGGGCCTCGAGTAGATGTCCCTTAACCTCAGCATTAGTCTCCCCCTAACCACGTCTTCTTTTATGCGCTCTTTATGAAGTATGACAAATTGAACTGCTTCACTTCTACGCTGATTTGTCAGATTAGTTTATAATTCCAATGACAAAAAAACGCATAGATGAAACAACGAGATATAAATGTCAGTCAAAGTACACTTTATTAGCTAACAAAAAGCTTTTTTAAAATTATTATTTTGAATGTGTAGAAGAATGTATGCCAACAGAAAAGTTAACAAGAAATTTTAATTTGTCAAACATAAGTAAATAAATTTTATTATTGAAATTCTGTTTTCATGATAAATCTGATATCCTTACGTAACAATACTTGTTGGACATCAGTAACGATAAAGAAATTTCTTTTAAGCATTCATGAATGACAAATATCAAATTGATATTATATTGTGAAAGCAGAAATGAAGATGTCAGTTGATTCTTACAAATCATCACGGACTGATATCAGTTGGAGAACCAACGAAAACCGGGCAGCATTGGATAGCTGTTTTATCTCAGTCTGAGACTCTTTAGCAGTACGTACCTACGAGCGCACCAGAGATCGAAATGCATAGTGCTTATTAGTGACATGCTTCGAGGTGGATGTCCTGAATTTTTGTTGGGAAGCAGTGAACTATGGAGGTAACCAGTAGGAACTGAAGTGGATGGCAACTGAAGATGTCAGTGGATAGTCAATAGACCGCAGAACCGTTAACACGTTGGCCACGAGAACTTCAGCTAGTGGGTTCAGTCCCTGGCGAGGTTGCGGATGCGCAACGCTTCCACACCAGTACGAAATAGCTGTCCAGTGCTTCCAGGTTTTAAATGGCTTTCCAACTGATGTCAGTCTGTGATAAACACTGCCGTTGTTTTACTCGTGCAGAACTAATCCATCTTCTCTACCTTCCTATACTGTGCTTCCATTTAGTTGTGATCATTTCACACACATAAAGTGTTATATCAGTGCCACTGAACTTCTTATCCAAATGGTCCAGCTTTCAGAAGCCTTCTCAATACTGGTAGCATTACACGACGTTCGCACTCGAACCTTATGTATACTGCGTTTACTCTTAAACACCTTTCGAATCCAGCTGCGATACAATACTTAGAGTTAGATGAGAATGAGCGGAAAATGAAGCTCAAGGGAAAGGAAAAAATTAAACCTCTTCGGATAGAACATTTTATACATTGTTTACAACTGAATATCCCTTGAATGTTATAATTGATTTGTAGATGGGATTCCTCGTGCTGCGCGAGAATTCATCATTCATAGTACTCTAAGACTCTTTCTGCGTGAAAATGACAAAGTAAGTGATGGACAGCGCCAATTTCATCAACAGTCAAATATAAGAATGCGCTCACTCAACAGGATTTATAAATTAAGGGAGGTTATTGAGAGAGCCAATCAAATTTGAGTATCTACACCTCGTCATCTGAAAACGATTACTGATACATCAACTAACTATACTACTTTGACCATTAATAAGTAGCGTAAAGAAACAGATCAAAATACCTGCTGCAATTTGCGAAGCGACAAGAGTTGATGGGAGAGACGTGTGCGTAAATTGGTTCGTTCATTATGAAGTGCTTCGTTCTGATTCAGAAGATTCTCATAAGAGTGAAGAAAATCATGTTTGCCAGTCTAAAGTCGCATAAAATGTACAAAAAGCATCAGTAAGTGACAAATATAAACGAAATTTTACATGCAATAGTGAACATTTGTAGCTCAGGTGTATGGTCTTGGTTATATTGTGTTGTCTCAACTGGGTTGTTTAATCATGAAGCTCTCATCGTTTATCTAGACGAGATCATCAGCACCAACTTCAGTATGAAGTGAGCCATCAATATCTCTCCGTCAGTGAGTGATCCAGTAGCTTGCCTTGACGAAGCGGTCTATGATTGGTTGTTTCCTTCGATTGTTGTGTCATTGACTGTATAGACTTTCCTGTTGGCTGCCCGTTCCTCTGCCTGACCTCTGACCTTTCCGTCGTATATCAATTTTCTTATTGGTTGATAGATCGCGTCTATGTCTATACATCTGTTGATTGCTGACTGACTGATCTGAATGCCAAGCTTCTAGGAATTCTCTGATATTCTTTGTGTTTCCTCTATCACTCCAACATTTCTACATTGTCAAAATTGAATTCATGTCCATAATTATCCGCATCTAGTGAAATGAGTGATGAAATGTCGTGACGTTTAATAGCCGATCGGCGTTCATGTAGACGAAGGCGAAGAGGGCAACCACTCTGTCCAATTACAGTTATTGCAGTTGATTTTCTAAATGATATTCGGTTTGTCTTCTCTGACCGTTGTTGGATCCTTTGGTCTGTATAATAGTGTTTGGAGGGGATTTGTTAGTTTATGAACCACACCAATTCCAAGTGGCCTCAGTAATCTTGTTGTAATTTCTGACATATTCTTTATGTATGCGTTTATTGATTTCTGTCGATGACTTTGTAGTTGATGATGCACGGGATAGACATTATCTGATAACGTTTCGTGGGTAGCCGTTCTTCTTTAGAATGGACACCAAATAACTTTCTTCGTTTCTCCGTGCAGTTGTTGTCTGCAGTGTGTTCTCAGTCTCTTAAATAGAGTCTGCACGCAACTGATTTCCCAATCATTTTGCTCATCCGTCTCTTGATAAAATTATAAGAGTAACCCATTTGTACCAGCATATTATGAATGTGTTCTCAATCCTCACTGTACAAAATCATTAAAGCAGATCCATCTAGCTCTACTTGCAAGACATTTGATTAGGCTTCTTCCATACTGAATGGTGACAAAGCTAAGATGTGATCATTTTGTATATTTCTACGGAGTGACCTATCATCTACTCTAATCAATAGAGCATCTAAAAACTGTTTATATATATATATATATATATATATATATATATATATATATATATATATATATTAGCGTAAAGCCTGATAAGAGAAATTGAAAACCATGGGAATTTTTAACAGAGTTCATATATATGAAAGTAGGTGAATATTATTTTATAGAATATGAATTGTATTTTATGCATAAACACAAAGGATATAACTCACCCACTGATCATTAATAAGTGTTTGAACAGATTTCGCCTTTAATGATCCTTGTGATATTAAATCTCTCGCTGTTTGTACGCCAACATCTGAACTGTATTTCATCATCGTTTTATGATTTACTTCATATTGCTTGAAAGCTTGAAACTTCCCATTACATTATATTAAAGAATAAATATTAACTAATAGAAATGATGTGATAACGAGATAGAACTTAGTCAAACGAGTAACACGTTAATGGCTTTTACACTGAAAAAACATCTGAAGTATTCTCTGAAACACAGCAACTATGTTGACACTGTCCAAACCTAGGCAAGATGGAACAAGACTCAACTTAAGCCTATGATCCATTGGTTTAAAGTGCACAAAAGGAGTGAGGTGTTTCAGTTACCAAGACTATGGGAGACAATTAAATCACATGGTCAAAACCATAAAAATGATAAAAAGTAATTACAAGCGCACTATTGCCGTTGATTTTGAGCTATATTATCAAGTTTTTCACTATGGACTCCATGTATTCAGAGGACTACATACATATAGCCAAGGCATTTCTGTACACCACCTAGAGAATCCACAAACTGATGCTGCAACTTGATTTAGACAATTCTGGTTTGCTGCCATGTTAATTCTGCTTGAGTCATCATGCTACATTGATGTAGATGGTAACTCGGTATACGTAACACATTTAGCGCAAGTGGAGATATGACCCATTGGTTCAGATAGCTGACTTACAACCAATGAGCGGCGCGTTCGAACACCGTTCAACCTACGGCGGTTTGGGCAGCTAGGTGGCATCATTCATTTTCCCTTACACAAGGTTACTGGGAGGATTTAGTTTTTTTAGTGCGAGTTCACACACAGTTTCATCAACTTTTTGTCAACCTCAAGCCAAATAGCAGCATCACCCAGCCTGAGGTTCCAAAACATACCAGCATTGGTAAAGAGTACCGCCGTATACTTAGAAACGATAGGCATACATACAGGTTTTGTTCAACTAAACCGAAAACTTATATCTTTTACTTATTTTACCACGAGTACTGTTCCACATGTCTTCAATAATCCCTACAGGAGCCTGATATTCAGGTAACAGGTTATGTGTTCAAATAGCATTCCATCTGACGTTTCATCATTCGCCAACGCGCAATAAATATGAGATAGAGAGCTTAGTACACAAATGTATACAAGATGAAAAAGTTACGCTATATAACAGCAGTTTAAGCAGTAAGCATCAACTGTAGACAAATCCAAATACCTAAGCGATATCTAATTAAAAACCTGCAACGTGGGTACAGTCTCCAGTGTTGCCAACTACAGAAGTAATACAGAAAAATGTTTCCCCACAGCTGAATAAATCGAATTCTTCAAATTAAAAAAGGGAGGATTGAAAAAACAAGGAGTGGTAATATTTTAAGTTATCAGTGTCGTTTCTTAACAACATAATACTCTTTTGTGTGCATACACACATTATGGTTCAGTTTGAATAGGATGTTACTCTGACAGTCTACAACATAAAATATATTCCTTCTAAACAACGAAACGCACTAGAGTACACAGATACTGCAGATCAATAATCTTCAAATAGAAGTTGAGTAATGCGACCAAGTCTACCAATGAGGAATTACATGTATTAAAACAAGAAGTGATACCCGTTGCACAAGAGGTGGGTATCGTGCCTCAGTGGTCTAGTGGATAACGATTTGGCGTTTGAAGCGATGGGTAATGGGTTCGAGTCTCAGTGTGAATAACATCACTCAGTAGGGTGCAGGTTCACCTAGCTGACAAATCCAAAGTCGAAATCGAAATCTACTCAGCAACCTCGTGTGCATTCCTCCAGTAGGCAATCGGCTACACCTATCGTGTGAGGGCTAATATTTGCTGGTTAGCTGCCTAAACCTCAGCAGGTGGAGTGGTGTTCGAACATGCGACCCACAGCTCCGCATGAGATCCAAATAGGACCAAATGCGCGTCCTGGATTCCACATCACAGTTTGACGTCGGAAATTACTTTTAGTCAGATAACTTTATTTAGCGTAGATAAATTTAAAATAATTTGGTATACAACATATTCCGGCCGTTTGACCAAGTAAAATGAGGTTTTCGAAGAAAAGAAAAAACTGAAATACTAAAAAACTATGGATAGACACAACTTTTTCAGATGCAAGAAACCTACTTCATGAACACATCTTTTCAGTCGAGATATTTCAGACATTGATTTACACAACTTAGACGATAAATCCTATATCAGAGAAAACAATAAACATATTAGTTAGGTTTCACCGCTTTTTACTACTGAATGCTTATCAAGAATTTAAGAATAAAAATCAGTAGCCTGTTGAAAAAAATCTTAATTAACTTCTTTCTTTTTAAAGGCATCAAACTCTAAAGAAAGTTCTGGTTGCAAATAGATTCCCAACAAGCTTCATAGATAAGAAAATATCGACCTAAAACCTCGCAAACAAAACCCTACCACCATGCAAAAAGTGAAGCTATACATGGATCTAAATTTCAAAGATGGTTTAGACGTTGACACTAAAGAGGAGGGACATCAAGCTCTTTAAGAAGAACAATGTTTGCGTCAACGCTGAGACTAGTATTCTCCTGTTACCCAATGATTTATAACTTTCGCATCTGACCATTTTTATGTGTGCACATCAATTTGCATGCTCCTGTGGAGCTAGGTATATATGTTATTCGATGGGACTGTCTAAGTGTTCAGGAGCACTATCCCGCGTAATTAGAAAGAGGTACCAGTGGAGCGATAAAGAGGGTTTTAACTGAAAACGTCGTAAACACGAGCCACCTAATCTCAAGGACCTCCTCGTTCAAAGTCTTTTATAGAGAGAAAAGAAACCTACCTAAGGCTGAATGTCTTCATATTCTCTGACCCACCGAAGCCATTATCATCCACATGGAGAATACTGGGCTTTGAGCGTAAGATAAAATTGTTCAACCTATTCTCCTTTTATGCTCTTAACTTTAAACCTTTTCAATATCTCCCTTTCTACACTGTTCGTTTCTTATATAATTTATCATTTTTTCCAGTGTCTGTGCTCCTTTTGATCAAATTCTGTCATCCTACAAAACTTCTTACACCAAATAGTAATCTGTTTGCAACAACCGTCATATTTGATTAATCTTCATCATTTATTGTAACTTTTGAGTTGAACGATAGCCAATGTATTGACACTATTTTCCTTGTTATGTTAGAATAACTGAATTTCACTATCAAACAATTGTAAAAGAGATATGTATACACTTGCGATTGTTCAGCTTTAGGAATGAAAGGCGTAGAGAAGAGTTGGTTCGCTGAAATACTTATTCTTATTTCGCATTCATATAAAACTAGAAAAACACTTCATCCCTCTACATTTGGTCCACTGAAATTTCTTTCATACAATTTTAGAAATTTATTTATTCTATTTCACCGTAAATTTTGTTTACCCTGAATTGTGAATTTCTACACTACTGTGAGTTGTTATGACTACGAAACAAAACAAAAAGGTAGAAGAAGGAATGAACAAAATGTATGATAATATCCATAGATCTTCGCGACTAACACCACGTAGAAAATTTAGTACGAAAAAGCATCCTTCCTAATATTCAACACTGAATTAGCACTAAATGAAGGTGTTTTCGACCTTTACTCTCATCTCTCAATATAACATACATTACTTCCAATGGTCTATTCAGTATGTTAAGAGTGTACTCTGACATAGAATTGATGAAGAAATAACCAAGAATTTAAAGACTGACTGCCACACTGCCAAAATCAACGTAAAAACTCGATCCCAAGTACATAGGCTAAACTCACCACACAACACAGTGGTATTCAAAGAACAGGTTGATAGAAAGAGTGATATCAGGGTAGATAAATTTATGTGACAAAATAAACAATCTGTGAATAAAGGTTAGTGTGAATATTCGGGATTTAGATGTCAAAGAGTGAATACATCTGCGTCACTTTGACTGATTTTCAGCCATGTCATCAACAAAAATCAACCAATGATTCCTAACGTCTCCGAGATTCCAAACGAGGCAGTCTACACCTCCCCACATGGCTCACACCAACAATCACAGACTTCATCGACTGGTGGTGCCGGGTCTTGATCTGGCCACCTTCAACCCTCTCCACAACCCAATCCAGACTCCCCCATCATGCCACATTGAGGTAGGTGGTAGCTCGGCATGCACAGTGTATGTCGAAGCCACCTTTGTATATAGAGGTTCACAACGTCATCAATCGAGTTGCCTATCTTACCTATTCTCCTTCATTCGACCTCAACATTATTCACGCTGTGATTCCACCGAACGTGAGCAATGCTACGAAGACACTTATGATCAAAACCCCCTCACTGTTTGGTGTTACAGAGATAAGTAGATAACATCAACGTCAGACTAACTTGGCATTTGCTCTGAAATGGTCCAAGTTGGCACATACCTCACTCATTATTTCAATGCATTAAGATGAAAGATAGCTGAATAACGAAAAAAAACTGCAAAATGGGGTGAAACGTCATGAAAAGAAAGCAAAGAGGAATGAGACAATAAGGAGATTCAGTTCGAAGATTAGGATGGAGATAATGTGTATGCATTTGCACCACAAACATCGATTCTGAGCAGCATCATCTAGAGTTGCCAACCACTCGCTTCTGTTGTCCAACTAACCAGGAAATCTACATTTCCCAACATGAATGACTAAGTCCAACAGTCGAAGACTTCATGAACTAATGACATGTTTTAGTTTCACCCACTCTGACCTTTTTAATCCTGAGCTTACTTCACAGAATATTGTGTGACAGGGAAAAAGATGACTAGGAATACGCAACATATGTTAATATCCGACTAGTGTGCAAAAATTAAATGATTTAACTCACCTTTTCCACCACCACTAATTTTTTTTCAAAGTTTTTTACCCTTTCACAGGCTTCATCAATAGACTCGTCCAAGGATTTAGTTTGCCCATTAGAATATGTTTTGGATTCCACTAAGCGACGAATTGTTGCAGAAGCTGTTTGACATGTATTTTCCAATCGACTGAAGGTAAAAGAAGTCAAGTTAGGCTGTGCACCCGAAATTACTTTCATATTAAAAAATACACACAAATCAACGCATCTGTTCAACAGCTGCCACACTCTCGAGCAAAATACAAAAAACCAGTGAACAGAGAAGGAATGACATCAAAGTGGACAAATGTGTATGATAGGAGAGTGAATAAATGATCGGTGATAAAGAGTGTATACATCTGAGGCACTGTGATCCATATCACTGAACCGCCAACCACCGATTCTTATTGTCTCTAGAACGTCAATCAAGTAGCCTACACATAGGTTTAGCGACTTTTCGGACTGATGTTACCTTTTGATTTGGCGACCATTAGCCTTCTTCCAACCAAATTGTACTTACGTTGAGATGGCACAATGAGGAAGGCAGAGGCTCAGTATGTCCAACACGTACGTTCAAGTCACCTCAGTCGTTGAAGGTGCATAACCTCATTGACTGGTCTGCCTTCAACAAGCTACATCCAACCACGACATTGGTTATACCATAATTCTTTACACATAAAAAACCCTAAGAAGACACCTACTGTTAGTAACCTGAAGCTTCGTAGTCATACAGTCTGAATAGCTGCCTTAGTCCTACAGTAGGACACAGTGAACAGTTACTCAGCGTACTCGTTAAACGATATTTAGCCGGATATCTCACTGACGGCATGATTTTAAATACCTTTAATTTAACTTACAATTGAGTAGGTCATTTTGTCTGACGGAGTTGTGACTCAGTGGACTACGTACTCATCTTAAAATAAATGAGTTAGGAGCCAAAATTCAACACCTCCAATCCCCACTTCAGCTTTTAGACAGGATCATACGCCTCCATAAAAATTGATATACATAGTTGTGTGGTGAATGGGCGCAGAAAATTCAGTGGGCTGCTTCACAGAATACATTGCATTGAAACTATACACTTTTAAGTTGTTTTAATCACTCAAATACATCATCCTTTAATCCCACTATCTACTGTAGCACACATTTATAATCTTTTTAACCTATCAAATCGCAATTTCAAGCTAAAATCACGAAAAACTACGATGAGGGAGGCAACAGGCTTTAAAGGATATAAGAACAAACCAAATGATGATTCCCGAAATAGAGTTTTCATATGATAAGAATCCCAAAGTGTATCAAAAATATCGTGAGGAATAAAGTGATGATTGCTATTAGTTCCAAAATCTTTTTCTGAGCTTAAGTATACACACTCATCTATACAAAGATGAGTAAAGCCACCGTTAAGCTTCAGATCTTATCCATGAGAAATTGGTACACCTACTATATAGGTGGTTCACAGGATAAAAATTGCCTACTAAATTTCAGTAAACCAAATGACCTACAATTGATCATTACCTGATTTTTAAAACAGTGCAAGAAACAAACAGATGTTACTTGGATGAAGGCAATCGGCAGGAAGCCCTGCTTAGCCTACGTTCCATGCTTGTTGCCACCTGCCAGTAAGTCATATTTGCAACCTCAAGAGAAATGATGTCCACTGCGAGATTCAAATCCGCGTAACCCATTGCTACAATCAGAGACGTTACCACCGAGCTATACAGGCGTCTATTCATCTCCTGTAGGACTGGATTAGATATATTGATTAGTCACTTGAAAGTAACCAATTTCATGTTATGTAATCTTAAGTGTTCATCGAATTATATCGATTATGTTTCTATACATGGTCATCAAGCTAGAAGACGCATCACTGAAGTGCACTTTCATTGATGTTAGTTGGTTGGAAACAGTGAGCAGGAAGACCTTCTCTACCCAGTTTGCATGTTTTTTGGATAAAAACAATTTTAATTTAACGGATGATTGTCTTATCATTTACCTTATTTCTAGCATCTTCTCTATTAGTGCATTGTTAGCTTCATTTAATTGGTCCTCCAAGTATCGAACTTTTTGACTGATCTCTTCCTGATCAATGGGAGACTGTTGTGGCAAAACTGATGACGACGAATCAGCTTGTGAAGTTGGACTACATTTCACCGATATACTAGATGCTGAATTTTGTTTCCGATGTAACAGAAGATTTAGATGCTTTGCCACAGTTTTTTCTAATCTTTTGACTGATTTTTGAGAATTAATTAGATCTGTTTTTTTTAATTCAGTTTCATGAGAAAGGCGGTGGATTTCTGAGTTTTTGTTTGTAAGCGATGCTTTTGCAACCATCAACTCTTCAGCCTACAGGAAAATAGATACATAAAAACTTAGTTTGATCAACCTGAAGCCTGATTGTATGCTTGTGATCGTCCAGTTGCTTTTTAAGTTCATCGACAGCTAACTGGTGCTGCTTTTCTGACTCCTTGGTGATGTTCTTATGATCAATTTCTTCTTGAATTTTCGTCTCAAGTTGAGAATGTAGTTCATCACAGCGTTTCTGAATGCTAAGAACAGTATTTTTCTCATCTGTCAATTGTTGTCTCAGCAACAAAATTGTTTGTTCATTCTTTTGCCTAGATTTAAGTGAAAAAATAAAATCAGTATGTGAAGCAGTTTTGTGAAACACAAGTGATAAGTTGTCAGTTCAAAGATTCTGATTAAAGGTGTGTCGCACTAGGTACTAGAGCCGAAGCTGTGCTACTGGACCAGATCCCCATCAACAGTCATCTGTGTGCTTTTAAACTAGAAGGTTCATCTCGAGTAAGAAGTAACCAGCAAAAGAAACGATGTCTCATTGTCATTTCTCCCTATGCTCCGAATAAATACAGCCTCGATGCAACCAAGGATGAGTTTTATCACCAACTGGGGGACCTGCTCAAGCAAATGTGCTCGACAGATATAGCAGTTGGGGACTTAAATACGCGGGTCGGGCGTCCAGATTAAGAGGAGGGTCATTCAGGTGGTCAAAGGGGACTGGTTGGACGCAGGTCGGATAATCCGGATCGTCTTCCCGGCTTTTCGCAGATCACAACTTATTTCCAGCCGCTACCAACTTCCAGAACAGCAATAGCCGTAGTGCTACTTGTTGTCCTCCATCTACCACTCAAGCTTGAGCTCAAACAGATCATACTGCAGTCATACTGCACAGGACTGCCACTCCATATGGGTAATTTTCTGAACTCTGATCATGCTTTAGTGTGTTTTAAGCTTGTCTCACGTTTTGATAGCTGTCAAAACTGTCGTCCTAAACAGGTCAAAGCAAGAAAAGTAATTGCACATAGCACTGCAGCTAAATACCAATTAGAGCTAGATTGGAGGCTAGCTACTGATCCTCCAGAAAGTGTAGACACACACTGGCTGCACTTGCAAGACACCATGAAAATGACAAACAAAGCCGCTCGTGGCTTGGAAGAACGTCCCGCTAATAAACACTGGGTATCTCTCTGCAAACTCCTTGCAACTTCTTGACACCCGTTGGATCATTCCAGTGGACAGCGATTACAATGGTTTGCGTCTCTTACGCGAAGGATTGGACAACGCTTATGCAGGGACTGTGAGTCCAGGTGGTCGGAACGCAAGAGTGAGATGGAAGCAGAAGCTACATCTAGTAATAGTCGGAAGCTGTTCCAGCAAGAAGCCTGGTGTCAGTGAGATGGTCTATGATATAGATGGTACGCCGATAAAGAATCTTCAAAAACGCCTAGAACACTGAAAGGGGCACTTCGAAAAACACTTTAGCTGGCCAACGGCACCAGCATCTTCAGTTTCAGTGTGTCCTGCTCCATGTTCAGTTAACAATGACCCACCTAACGAAGCGGAGACTCATAAAGAACTCCGAGTTCTGAAACGCCACGAGGCACCTCGCCCATACAACGTACCCCCAGATCTTCTTAAGATGGTAGAACGACTCTAGCAAGGAAACTGACTAGATTGTTTGAGGTATGGCAGACTGTGTTCCATCAATCTGGAATGAAGCCATCGTCACGAGGAGTAAGTCCGGTTTTGTTCAGGTCGTGGATGCATAATTCATGTGTTAACCCTCCTCCAGATGCTTGTACATCGCCAGACGCATTGCAGGTCAACAACTATTTTGTTTTTTCACATTACGGTTTCCTTCTATTTGTTGGACAAAGCTGTACTCTGGAATTCTCTGTTAGTGAGGACAGCACCTGAGAAGTTTACTAACACCGTGAAAGCCCTATATAACATCTCAGGTAGAGTGAGGGCATACAATCACCTGTCTTCGTTGTTCCAAACCGGTAGTGTAGTTAGGCAGCGTTGCCCGATTTCTCCATTCCTCTCTAACTTTACCATCAATGACATTCGTGAGACAGTTCTTAAGATGGGTGATTGTGGTAATTATCTTGAATATATGGACAATATCATCTTACTGTGCGACAACACACAGGCTATTCAAACCGCACTTCAGTTGGCGATTAGTATAGTATGTGCTTTGCACCATCGAAGTGCAAAGTACTTTCGCAAGTACTTTTTGCGCTCACCCTCGGTGATGGGCCGTTGGAAGTAGTCGAAAAGTTCGCGTATCTGGGTAGTTGTATGACTGCTGGTGGAGGTGTGGGTGATGAAATTTCCAACCTCATATCGAAAGCCAGAGTGGCATAAGCGAAACCAGGTTACCTTTGGAGCCATCGTAAAGTTAGTCTGACTGTAAAAGGTCGGGTTTACGACGCTTCGGTGTGACCAGTTATGCTCCACGCCCGAGAAATCTGGCCTCCGCGAGCTGAGGATGTGCGACGACTCTGTCTGTCTGATCGTCGTTGTCCCCATGGAATTTTTCGTAGCCAGTGGCAACGCTAGGTAAGTAATCCTAATGTGCGACGACGTGTATTCGGGCACGATGAACATCGTCACCCAATGAGTGAAGTCATTTGGATACACCGGCTTCGTGGCTTGGATATATGTTACGCATATCGTCCCAACGACTTCCATACCGTTCAGTTTTCTAGCCCTGGGACTAGATGAAAGAAACGCAGGGGTTGATAAGTGTATTACGTGGCTCCGTGGGTTGCAGGATAGTTATACTGCGTTAGCATCTGTTGATGCATTACGACTCTCTGGGTGGGGTCTGACACCACAACTCAGTGGCTTGAGACGTTATCACATATGGCTCAGAATCGAAACCAGTGGCGGTCACGCTGTAGTTTCCTCCTATCTCCTGCTGCTGAAAAGTAATAAATGTTCTCTTTTGAGTGTATCTTACTAGAATACCCATTTAATCATGCTATTCTTATTGTTTTTATTTGATACTTATCCACTTCCCATCCGTTATGTGACCACAATGTTGTCATATTATTTTGTTTGGTGCATTTCTTGGTGACCTTGTTTTTACCGTCTCTGTGTTTTAATAATAACAATGGTAAATAAATGTATAGATGAAGAGGTATAAAAACTTAGGAAGAGAAAGGAACAAGTGATAAGCAGCCCAAGTACTTAGTGATAATAATTCCTAACATTAGAAAGACAGAAAACAGGTGCCTCTGCACCATAGCAACATACAATTTATTTCATCACTCTCAATCACTGATTAGAAACATTCAGCAAACCTCGATATGGTAGCTTATAAAACCCTACGAAGCTCAAAATAATAACCATATGATTCTTATATTGGTGCTGTATAAATCGAAAAACTGGGAGAAGATAGACGGTGAGTAACACCGCAACATCCTACGCATCACAATCAAAGGGGAGAGGTTTGATCCCACAACAGTGCTCAGGTAGCAAAGGTGAACAAATACTTTCACTTTTACAGGTTTTCTATGATTTTATTTTAATACAAAGTGGGTTTTAGTGAGGATGTGTTGAATAACGGAGGCTAACTGAACCATAAACAGAGCCAACACACTACTCAGCTAAGAATAAAATTAAGCTACGCAACATCTAGTATAACAAATTAAAATTAAAATTTAATTTCGCAAGATATAACAGCGGTATTACTACAAAGTGGGTCCAACATTCTCCATCTGCAAACATTACAAACAGACTAGAAATAGCATGGTTACATAGTCATATGTATAACGTGCAGTACCATACCTCAATTTTTCATAATCGGTTTTGAGAGCTTCATTTTCCTTTTCCAGGTTGCACAGATGCATTGAAAAGTCACTCTTTTCTGAGATTAATTGCTTTTGGTATTTTCTTTGAAGATTAGTGTAACTAGCTCTCATTGCATCAACTTGGCAGCTCAATTCATCGATTTTTTTCTCACAACCGGCGTCTTTTTTTGTAGATTCTACCAAGTTAAGGCGCACAAAAGCATTTTCAACTGTAATTAGGTTGAATAGTAAACGAAACACTTACTTCTTCATCTTTTTCATTCACGAGATGTTGCAGCCTATTGTTCTCGGCTACTTTGGTTGCCAACCTTTCTTCTAGGTTATGTAAGTCCTTCTCCCAGTCACCTTTCTTTTTCTCGATAAGCATATCGATTTCGACTAAAAGTTCCTGCAACTCATATTCAAACTCAGTTATATGAGGGACAAGAAATCCAAAATTCTTTAATCTTTCACAAACGAATTATTAAAGGGAGAATTACATGTTGTTCTTCCCTTTTTCTTGTCGAGTATTCTTGCAAATATACGGAGATCCAAGACCAGACATTTCTCACCACCTTGAAGCAACGCAAAACACTGGATTTAGTAACGTGGTGACGACAAACAAAAATAGAAATGCAACATATTCAATATTCTTTGACTCAGTACAGTAAGCTTCTAGTCTTTGAATTCTCCTGTTCACGTTATGAAACTCAGATCTTATTTTAAATATAGGTATTTTGTATGTATGGGAAGTCTTTCTGCTCTCCTTTATTTATCTTTTGAGTCTATGATTATTTACTTTGGGTATTTTGCGGTCCGTTGACTTACACAGTAATTAAACTACGAAACAACTAGAAGGGTCATTTGTCACTATATAACTCTTATCTACATGAATGGAAGAAGTTAGCATAAATTAGGCAACCAGAGAAACCAAATAGAGATAGTTGCATTTGTTATGAAAAGGTAAAAGAGGTTGCAGCGACACACTTCTCCAGCACCAGTAGCCTACAGTTCAGCGAGATTCAACATTTATGCTGAGATTCATAGTTCAACTGAACTCGCTAGGCTGAAGGCACCCGGTCAAGCACCCTCGCCATTTGAAACGCTGTCGTGTTACGTTACACTGCTTGTAGTCGATCCTCTAGCCAGTTAGTTGGGACGCATCGGTATCTTGGCACGACCTTGCAAATATATTATTCCATCTAACTACGCTACTGTGTTCTTTCTTAGTCTCGCATCTGTGGGTATATTACAAGTACGAATAATCAGTGATCGGCTTCTGGGTCTGTCAAGTCTGCACAAGGACAATTCTCAAAAGATAACACAGATTAATAGTGGTATTCAAATGCTGTCTACCCTAGGCTGCTTTCTTTTGAATTTTTCAACATATTTTTATGGGAAATAATATCATCGTTTTTCTGGGGCCGATGTTGTGTATTTACGTTGTATATCGTCTAGTTCTCAACAAGATGACATCGTTCAATACTGCCAACGCGGTTTCAAGAAAGGAAGATCGTGTATTGCAACTTACTAACCTCTTGGCGTGGCTAGACTGGTGGCTAGGAGGGCGTCTTCCTTGAATTAGTAGAGACCTTGAGCAATGTCTCGCACAACGATTCACTAGCATGAATTTTGGGGGCGGGAATCAGCGAGTCCTCTGATTTCTGTGTTCCAGGACCACTTGGCGAGGATGGATTTCTACGCCAAAGCTAACACTACTCTTTCTGCGTGGAAGGTTCCCACACCCGCAGTATTTCTTTAAGTGTTGGCTCAGTCCTGACCATGCAATTTGTAAAGTATTTGCCCACAAGACTTCTTCAATTCAGTTTTTTGACATCAAATATAACGAGTAGTACATGTCTAAAACGATTAGTTCCCCTCACAAGCTTCCATAAGGCCTATCAAAAGGGAAAATCAACTGGGCGAAAAAGGAAGCGCAACGAACTACAGTTCGGAGTTAAAATCACCGAGGAAGATTTAATATGAATGTCCGAAAGTAGTTTAGGCTATCTAGAAGGCAAGGGCATAACAGCTTAAGGGTTATGACTTCGGTGATTAGGGATTTTAACCTACCTTTCTGTTGTTCGAAGGCATTTGTTGCCACGTTAATTTTTCTTGGCAATTTCAACGCTGAAACGAAATTCCGTGTACTTTTATTTAAACTGGCTTGATTTTTATCATTTTCTGGCCTTTAATTCGGCCCTCCTACCAGGCCCCTATATATTTCTTCATCCTTTGTGTATACGAATTTTCATACAAACACGTATGACAAGTACCCGCTTGATAAGAACGCTCGAAATGTGTCGGGCCGGTTCATTACACGGTTCAGACAATTTATGTCTTCCTATTGTTTTTCCGAATCACGGATGATATTAGTGATCCAAAACAGCTGTAAGATAACCCATCATAGCTGGAACCCTCGTCAACGGGAATCAAGGATATACACGAAGTTATGCTTCTTCACATCCCCGACATAAATTGGGTAAACTGCACCGTAATAGGTCCCAGCACTTCACAAGCCACCAAAAAGGAAGATTTGTGCCTCAGTTTCTCCACGACATTGGACGCCAGCATGAACTATTAAGAAATGTAGGCAAACTGTGGTACACACTTCATTTAGAGGCGGCTTCGTGCCCTCACTCCCGAAATCTTCCTAAGTGTCTTCAGAACAATTGCTAGGCCACATACTGAAGTTTTTAGCACAGCACCCGCAGAAGTTTCAGAGAAGAGTAACTACCTATATCTTGGAGCCAGAAAGCAGTCTTTCTGGGTTTGCCAGATAACTTGGCTCATTTATCCTAAGCTGCCGCGGGAAACGAGGTGAAATAGTTGTAGCATGTAAGATCGCCCATTGGGTAAATCACCAAAAAGCAACTGCCACCGATCCAGAACAAGTAATCAACCGGGAATCTTGCGAGAGAAGTCCATATAACGGCCAGCACTATGATCGGGTTAGAATTTAATTCCTCTGAAAGATAATGAGCTCCGCAGGACCTCTTATCATGAAGGAAATCAATAGCCCCCACGATTAAGACGCTCAAAAGATTGTAAGATAGCCACTTAAGCTGGCGTGGTTGGCCACTAACTTATGAAAGAAGTCTACGACCACCGGAATATTGCAAATTACTACCTTACAATTTCCTGGGTCTTGACTATACAGCGAAACTCGGTATTATTATACGTTAGGATTTGTCCTGGTGCGAACTTGACAGACGCAAAGAACAATCACTAATTATTCGGACTTGTTATATACCCACGAATACGAGACCAAGGAAGAACACGATAGCGTAGTCGGATGGAATAGTATATTTGGATGGTTATGCCAAAATACCGATGCGTTCCAACTAACTGGCTAGAGAGTCGAATACGAGCAATGCAACGTAACACGACAGCGTGCCAAATGGCGAGGATGCTTGACCGGGTGCCTTCAGCTTAGCGAGTCCAGTTAAACTATCAAGGTCAGCATCAATGTCGAAAGTCGTCAAACCCTAGGCTATTGATTTTGGGGAAGTGTATGACGCTACAGATCACTCCCCCCCTAGTGGGTTCGTGAGGACCCTAAGACGATACCAGCCGGAAGTAAAAACCCAGTGGTTTCTCCACTGGTAAAACTCTTCCGATGGGCCCACTGCGTGAGGTGGCCCCTGGTTGTCTGAACTTATTCTAGGGTGTCGTGGCAATTAAATAAATAAAATACAATAAATCGAATTGTACGTCGGTCGCGGTCCCCAGTTCCTTTCGACGTTCCGTCCAGTGCTCGTTGCACCTGGAATATAAATAAAAGTCTTTAATACCACGAAAACGTTTCCTAAAAATGGGAATTATTTATATATAAACATATCGAAAAATAAAAATTTACGCTTATTCTCACCGTTTTTTTAAAAGTTTCATTACATGGTAATAAAAATTGATATAAAAAAAGGCAAAGTGTACGAGGGTTTGTATTGATGTATCGGGTAGCAGTCCGGAGTTGTTTTGGCGTTGAGCCTTCGGTAATCACCGGTTGGACGCCAGTCGTTGCTATCCTTTTTGGGAACCATGTGCAATGGCGATGCCCAAGGACTGTTCGACGGTCTGATAATGCCCAGTTCGAGCATGTGGTCGAATTCATTTTTCGCCGTTTTGAGCTTATCGGGGGCTAAACGGCGCGCTTTGGATGCCACAGGTGGACCTGTGGTTGTGACGTGATGCATAACATTGCTGGTTATGCACGGAAGAGTGTGCTTTGGTTGTTGTAACTCTGGATATTTCTCCAAAACTGCCTGGTAGGACGCGCCACCTGATTGTTTAGTCCTAACGATGGCTAAACTCGGACCTACATAGGTGGTGCCGCCAATAGATAACTTTGTGTTATTACCTATCAGTCGTCGACGGCGAGCATCTACGAGTAGATCGTAATGGTTTAGCAAATCTATGCCAATGATGGGCATAGAGACGTCAGCCAGGAGGAAGATCCAGTGGATAGGTTTGCGTAAACCTAAGTTGAGGTAGGCATACCGTCTCCCGAATGTCGCGATTGCCTTGCCGTTGGCTGCTTGAAGATTGAAGGATGGGTCAAGATGACGCTCCTTTGTCGTTGCTGGAAGAACGCTAACTTCTGCGCCGGTGTCGACGAGGTAGCGGACTTTCGTTTTAACATCGGTGACGTAGAGCAAACGGCTTTTTCCGCCGGCTACGGTTGCCGTGAGCACGTGCCGGCGTGACCGTTTCCCGAGTTTGGGTCCTTCTTAAAACGGCATGGTTTACGACATTTTCTGGCTTCATCCCCGTAAGTGTTATGAAACCAGCACCATTCAGGGTTTTCCACCCTGTTGGGTTTCGTTTTAGGGCTACCACACGACTTGCTGCGATGCGCCAAGGTGCGTTTCTGTGAAGTGCTACGTGATCTAGGACTTCGAGATCGTAGCAACCGTTTCACAGAGTTGCACAACTTGGTCACCTCCGAATCCTGGCGCTCTGTTTTGTCGCAGATAGAATATACGTTGGAGACGGGTCTGCTGGATATCTCCAGTATTTTATCTGCTGAAGCTGCCAGGTCGTCGAGTGGGACTGACTGGAGTGTCACCAACACGGTTTGCACCGGTTGTGGTAGTTTCGAGAGAAATAGTTCTCGGAAGAAACCATCGTCAAATGTTCGTGCACCGATTACTTCTCGCATGCGTGCGAGGACTTCAGTAGCTGAGTGGCTGCCTAGCTCGATGTTACGAAGCAATTCGTCTAGACGTTGGCGATCTGTGAGATCGCTTTTCTTCAAGAGTGCGGCCTTTAGAAGTGCATAAGGGTCACTTACTTCAGGATTAAACATGTTTGCTGTAACAAACCTGTTTAATTCTCGCGGTAGTGAACGTATGACAGCAAGAAATCGAGATTGAGGATCTGAGACACCCTGCTCTCGAAAATCGGCCTCGGCATACAGAAACCATGTTTCTGCATTGTCTGGCCAATATGGCACGAGTTGGATCGTGTTCGAGGTCGGCTTAATACGAATAAGCTTGGGAGTGTGGTCGGACATGAGAAAGTGTAGTAAATGGATATATAAATGTTATCGAAATGAAAACAATAAAC